ATCGAATGATTGAATAGTTTCAGATTCAATTTTTAGCCTATCATTTTCATCTAGGATATCGTTTAGCATCTTTTGTGTTCCTTAGAGTCGATGAAGGTTTCTATCTTTTCCAGACCTAGCCTATAAGACATAGATGACTCTTCGGAGGACACTACTAATTCACATTTTGCTATGATCTCATCTTCCTTAAATTCAAGACAGGCAATATCATTTTATGAATTTTCTTTCCAATTTCACAACTTAAACGTAATTGAGAAATATTAGTATAAAGACGCCTAGCAATTAAACAGAAAACATTTCTTTTTTTTTAAAAAACTTTAAATTGTCTCTTTGCAAATAAATACTTTCGTCCCTAGCTCTAACTAACTCTGCTTCCATCAGCTCAATCCACATTCTTCTTTCCTCACTTTTTGAAGACAACCTGCTGAGTTGGTCAGTTAGGTTAGAATTCGCTAAGCGAGTTTGTATGAGGCTACTACCTAGGTTAGAAAATGTAAAGTTTAATTCATTTAGTTCTTCTTGATAATCTGTTTTTGTAATTTTAAGAGTTTCAAGAAGATATTGTACCTTTTTGATCAACCGATCGCAGTCGTTGATCTTCTTACTCACTGGCTTGGCCACAAAACACTTATTTTCGGTCAGGTTCAGTTATTTATCTGTACTTTCGGTTAATGGATCAGCAGTGACAATAAAACACTTTCCAGCCGAACCTTCTTCCTTTGCCGCAAAAGCCTTTCCATGAGTGGGCCTTCTAACCTCTTCATCTTCTGAGTCGGTTGACCAAACTTCTACGCCACCAAACTCATAGAGTTGTTAGTCACCTTTTTCTTTTTGATTTCCTCTAACTTGTGCATATAATACGCCTCATCATCTTCACCCTCTCTCTTCTCAGCCATTTTTCTCAACATGCAATCTTTGGCAAAGTGGTTCTGCCATGACAGTAGTTACAGTCGTATCCAGAATCTCCTGCAAGCTTGCTCTCCTTTTTCTATTCATCCTTTTGAGAGGAGATTTTCGGTTCATCCTTTATCTTCTCAGAACTATAACTTCCCTTCCAGTTTCGGTTCTTGCTGACAGGAAATTTTCTCCTTGCAAAGTTCTTTGGATTTGTGACCATCATCGCATACTCCTTACTTGTAAGGTCACATTCAGACATATCTGACTTTTCTTCGTCTTCTGCAATACTTTTTCCTTTAGAGACAAGAGCCAACGATCCCACACCAGAAACCATTTTCGCTTCCTTGGTTACTATACTTTCATGGGACTTAAGTATCCCTACAAGTCTAGCCAGAGAATAAGACTTAAACTATTCATGTGCCTTCACAGTGGAAACTACGACCATCCATTCCGGTCTCAGTCCGTTCATGAACGTCACTTTCTGTTCGATCAACTTTCTCTCTATTCAATGCTTGATCATCTTACTTAGGAGATGATTAAACCGCTCAAAAGTCTGTATAAGCTTCTCTTCAGGTTTCTGTTCGAAGACTCCAAATTCTGACAGTAGTAGGGTTTGAATGGAGTGTTCCAGATCTTCATCAGTTGAGTAAAGTTTCTTCAGCCTATCCCAGATTTCTTTAGTCGTTGTGCATGAACCAACCAACCAAAAGGTGTCAAATTGCAGGGCGAATCTTATCATTTGCATGGCCTTCACGTTACACAAGAGCTTATATTTCTCATCCTGTGGCATCTTCTCTATATTTGTCACCAGCTTGTTGTAATCCTTTTGGGACTTAACAGTCGTGTTCGTTCCTGAATGTACAAACGGTCCAAGAGTGATAGCTTCCCAGATGAGATAGCCATTATCTTCAGATCCAACCACGTAGTCTTCAAAGTGATGAGCCCATACTTCGTAATCTTGAGTATAGAGTATGGGTACCCTTGTTGTAGATCCAATGATGTTTGAGATGTTGATGGGGTTTGTATGCGAATCATCGTGAAACATGGTGAGCTGTTAGAATCAAACCTGTAATCTTGAGATTAGGGTTTTATCAGAAACTGAGTTACCGTCGATATGAAGAAGACGACTTCTATTTATACGATAAAAGCGGAAACCCTAAAGTAATCTAAATACAGAAGGAATGTGTATTGATCACACAATTTCCTGCTCTGATACCAATTGTCAGAACTAAGTTCTTTTAGGATCGAATGATTCTATGCAAGTTAATAAATAATAACGTAATAAAGAACACGAGAATTTCACTGAATATGTCGAATGATTATAACTTCAACACCTCATATGAGCTCGATAAAGAACTTCAACTATAGAGGAGTTTAGGGTTACAATGATAAACGTAATGAACGACCGCCTTATATTATGCATACATGCATGCATATTTATATCAAAACCCTATTAGCTAATCTAGATACCTATCAAACTATTCTAGATAACCACGGATGGACAGGCCCAATCCGGGTACAAAACTTATGGCACAAGACGCAACACAAATGGATTCAACAGTTTTAGTGTGTTGGTTGATGACCCTTTTGGGAAATAAGCTTCGTAACTCATAAACGGGTTTTGAATCTTTTGATCTTTATCATAGCTCGAATAAACACCTTCTTTATTATAAGTAATCGGTTTATAATTTGACAAAACTTGCATACGTACATACACGTTTAAGTGCCAAATTTATTAGCAATGTTAAGCACTTAAGCTGTTAAGCATTTTCCAATTATGAAAAATGTAGTTTTAGGTCACAGGATTTGGGAGTAAGGTTCTCTGTTATGCCAACTCATAAGTCTAAAAGAGATAGAATTTTTCCTCCAATCTACCGCATTGTAAGTTCATATTTTTTTAAACATACTTTCCTTGTATTTAACTATTAATAAATAATTGATAATTTATCTTATTTTTGGGAATTGGATGCAACATCTTTTAAAGATTTTGGTAGCCATGAATGGCACATTGCTTTAATTTCTATCTTTAGTATGGATGATGGTTCATTGTATTGGTAGCCAACTTCTTGTGATGACAAGATGATGAATGAGTTGATTATTGTAGTGATTTAACAACATGATGAAGAGTCCATTTAGAAGGAAATGTGTTTTTATTTGTGAGCTAGTTAAATGCAAGATATACATGCTTATTATAACATCCAACTTTCATTTTGTCTTACTTATAACGTTGTACTTTCAAAAATGATCCAAATTATAGATATAATAAACAAATAAATGAAACTACATTGTTATATTTGTATTTGTGTGATTATTGATTATGGTGTGTTGAAACAGGAACAAATGGTGGCCTTTGATTCAAAACTCAAATTGAAGAACAATTGTCAACCTTTATCGATTCAACTTACCCAGTAATTCGCCAAGTAATCCACCAAATAATTCTCAGTTTTATGTTTGTAAGCACTTAGTTAAACATTTGCAGTTGATACTTTTAATGTGTATTATTAGACACATTTAGGGTACTATTAGACAATGTCCATTAGTAATGTATTAGTATTTGATACTTTTTTTAACATATTAGATTATGTTTATTAATTTTATTGTAATGTTATTAGTTTTGTGGTTGAATTTCAATATTATCATAAGTTTAATGTAATGGGTTTTGTCAATATTTTGGACAGAAAGCTGGAACTTTAAAAAAAATTGCTTTTTTTTAAATAAAAAGTAATTAGTGATATAATACCTACGAAAAATCCATCGGTAATGTGGGTCGTTGGAAATGCGTAGGTGATAGAGTCAATGTCAGTCAAAGTGGATCCCGTTAGTAATCCGTAGGAGATCTGTCACTATTTCTTTTTGTAGTTATTTTGTAGGTATTATACGTACGGAAAAAACCCATAGGCATTCTGTAGTTAATTCATCGCGAGTCGTAGGTAAAATTTACCCACAAGTGTTTATGTTACGGTCCTTTTTCAGTCGCAATTCCATGGGTAACGCCGTATACCTACGGATTTTATCGTAGGTATTATCTGATTTTCTAGTAGTGTGCTCGAGCCGTTTAATTCACTTCCAAAATTGCGCATCATCAAATAATGTTGTTTTTCTATCTATTGGCAAGTCGTAAGTACAACTCACCATATTTTTTTTTTAAAATCTTGTATGCATTTAGGAAAAAATGACTCTTTGAATTGTTTTCGGATCAACCAAAAATTCTGATATATATATATATATATATATATATATATATATATATATATATATATATATATATATATATATATATATATATATATATATATATATATATATATATATATATATATCAGAATTTTCGTTTGATCTGAAAACAATTCAAAGAGTCATTTTTTCCTAAATGCATACAAGATTTAAAAGTTACGCTACCTTTCTATTTGCGATTGGCTGTTTGAATGGTTTCAGCTGGGTTTAAACAAATTTCTGGCGTAATTAGTTGGTAAATCGTGTGTGGTTAAATTGCTAAAGTGGATCCTAGTTTAAAGGGAAAACTTCAATGTAGACAGTTCCCCTATTTTTCACAAGTATTGTTATAAACTTATACGTGAACATGAGGGAATAGACGACCCCTGAAAGAGCTAGTAGGTATAACGAAAAAAAAGAGAGAAAATAATACATGAAAAAAAAACGTAGCTCTTTGTCATTCAGAGTACCGGTCTCTATCCTTAGCTTGCAAAAGAAATTGTAACCCTATTACACTTTCATTTTTGGAGAGTTGCGTTAATAAAGTTGTCGGGAATACATAGGTTGCCGTGTAAAACTTGACTATTCCACAACTCTCGTGCTTTGTTTTGTTCCGATAGCTATGTCTACCACTCTGAGGTGAAGAGTTGCAACGAGGGAATTGTCATCCTTTTTCCAGTTAAATTTTCTAGAGTTTGTTTTAAAGTTTGATAGAAAAACGTATTAGATGAAAATTCTATAGGGTTGTGAACTAACCTTTTCCGGATATATATATATATATATATATATATATATATATATATATATATATATATATATATATATATATATATATATATATATATATATATATCAGATTTCTTCATGTCATATAAAATAGAGTAACATATGAAAGGGACAGAGACGTAAAGAGAGAACTTTAAGATTATCATTTTACAAACCGAAATATATCTTAGATGCAAAATACAAAGTATATATAGAAACTTCTAAACATAGGTGACATATATGCAAATGCATGTGGCAATGACTACATGTTCTTGCTAGACATGACACATATGCAACATCATTTATTAGAAATATCGAACTCATTATCAAACATAACATAAAATTTAAATTTCACACCGGATCGATTTATTTCGTTTTTTTTTCTAGTATGTGTGGCTCAAATACTTATTTTGGTTAACCTGACCTTCAACCCATGCTTCATCATAAGTACCATAGAAGCGCTAGGAATAACCGGGTGACCTTCTACCAGCTCAATGTGATAATGATAAATGATTGTAGATACCACTATCTTTAGTTGAGTGAAACTCATGTCCTTACCTAAGCATGTCCTCGGCCCACCACTAAATGCGACGAACTTGTAAGATGGCTCATGTTTGATACCTCCTTTCTCTGAAATCCATCTTTCAGGCTTGAATTCCGTACAATCCTTACCCCATATCTTTTCCATCCTTCCCATTCCATAGTAATATAGAATAATCCTGGTGTTTTGAGTAACGTGGTGGCCACTTGGAAGGATTTCTGGCTGTAATGGAGTTTTGTGGTTAAAAGGAACAGCAGGGTAAAGCCTTAAGGCTTCGCATAGAGCCCCATGAAGATAAACCAGTTTTCCTACCTCTTTGGAATTCCAGTTCTTCTGATCATCTACTTTCACCTCCAGAAACGTGTTAATCTCCTCTCGGATCTTGTGCTCTACGATTGGATTTTTTGCAACGAGATAGAAAAACCATGAGAGAGTTGTGCTAGTTGTATCTCTCCCTGCACCCAAGAGGGTCACTATGGTATCCCTTACAAAGTTTTTGGGAGGATATCCAAAATTGCCGCTTTGGCTTTTGAACTCTGTTACCAGGGATGTCACTAATCCAAAACTTTCATTCACATGTTCGCTTTCCGTGTTAATGGACTCGTGTTGTATTCTAGCTAAGCACTTGTCTACGAAGTGATAAACTGCATTGTATGCGTCACTCAACTTCTTCTCATTCCCCATCCTCAGTAATCGTTGTAATTTCCAAAAGATTGGGGGTATAAGATGCCTATACAACATGCCGTCTGTAATATCTACCCAGGCTTTCTCACACGGAATGTAAGGAAAATTTATAGACAAGCTTTGAGGGTCATAGTCTAAGAGCACCTTGCATATAGTGTCAAAAGTGAACCTTTGAAATATTTCCTGCAAGTCGATTTCCATGCCCGTTTTGGATATAGACTCTAATACTGGCAAAAGCGCTGTTTCCACTTTATTCCAGACAACTGCTTCGAAAACACTTTGAAAGTTGGGTTGCCTAAAGAGCGACATGATGGTTTTGCGGTGAATTTCCCATAGATGTCCGTCGAGATTAATGATTCCATCTCCAAAAATGTCAAACAATTTACGGTATTTTGGGCCTTTTGGATAATTAGGAAAGTTTTTGCTCAAAACATGGTGAATGTCTAATGGGTCTGTGGTGATAAGCATATCCATGTTGGCAAACCAATGGCCTTTCCACTTGAAAGTACCTCCACGACGATTCAGAGTCCTGGTGAGTGTATTATGGAGTCGGTGCAAGTTTGTGATGGCATCTGGTATCATACCAAGAGGCAGCCAGAGTCTTTTGATAAGACTTTTTAGGTTTTGAGGTTTGTAATGAAAAACTAAAAAGGTAAGGCATATGAGAATGAGAATGGCCAAAGCTTCAAGGAGAGTCATGAGGAAGAAACGAGATGATAGAGAGATTATAAGGCGGTAAGGGGAGGAGGTTATATCACATATCATATATAGTGCATGGGTATATAAAAGAAAACTTTCCATGAGGCAACCGACACCCTTGAAATACACTTGATGTATACCTATGTCGATAGTTTCCATTTTATTGAGATTTAAGTCCAGTTGTGATAATTATTTTTAAAAATAAGCAAATTTATATATAACAGCTTTCAATAATTATTCAAGAGAAGGAAACATATTCATCATATAGTAAAACAAATAAGTGATTTGTGTCAAGGTTGTCAAGACTGAGATCTTCTTTAAAATCGGGATCTTAGCAAAGATCGTTTTATGTTTTGCAAGACCGTGGTAAGATCTTATTTAAGATCGGGATCTTAAGATTGGATCAGGATGGTAAGATCTTACCAAAATAAACCCATATTCAAATTAGTTATAATGTTTGTAAGGTAATTGGTATTCAATATACATTATATCTTGAAGTTAGATTAATATGTGGGTTTAACTTTAACTTTACCATTTCAAACACAGAACCATGGTTTTTGTTTTTGCAAACCATAAAAATTATGAAGAAAACAAGTTAATTGCAAAAAGAAACAAAATGATTATGATAATGTACAACTAAAGATTTAAGACCACAAAAAAAAATATGAGGGTAACCTGCTTAATTCGAAATTAATCAATGAAACTTGCGATAATCGATTTAAAGTTGATTAGATGAATTTTTTAGATTTAACTATGTAATAAACTAAAGACTAAACTGCATAAATGGTCCCTGTGGTTTGTCAAAAATTATCACTTTGATCCAAAAAGTTTTGGACTTACACCAGTGGTCCAAAATGTTCATTTTGTTGCGTTTTTGGTCCAATCTTTTATGATTTTTTTCAAAATAATGGATTTGCCCATGTTAATATGATTTTCTTTTTTTTCTTATTTGTTTTTTTGACTTTCAGATTTTAAAAAAAATAAAAATAAAAATAAATCTCTCTCTCTCCTGATTCTTTCAGATTAAAAAAACAATAAAATAAAACTAAAAATAAATCTCTCTCTCTCTCTCTCTCTCTCTCTCTCTCTCTCTCTCTCTCTCTCTCTCTCTCTCTCTCTCTGTCAAGTCATCGTCTACCTCCCACATCTAAAACCTTAACACCATTAATCTTCTTTGGTTTTAGTATATGAGTATGAAAATAAAAAGAATATGGCCTCAAACCAAAGACATATTCCTCTCATCCCTCTTGCATGTAATTCAACTTCATCGTGTCCCCACTATGCCACCATCACCTTCGCTCATCCAGTTTGAGATATTCATAGCGACATTTGAATCAAATCCTTCGTGCATATGATTCAAGTTCACTGGCGAACTGTGCTTCTTCATCTACCTTCCTCTTCATCTATACTCCCTCAGACACAGATCTAGGATGTTCATGGCAGCTAGGGTTTCATGGAGATTGTTCTCATCTGATGGCGGCGCTATGGTTTGGACAGGAAGCACAACTAGGGTTTCCAGTGGTGGTGATAAAGAGCTTTTTTGTTGGTGGTGATGCATCATGTGCGCTAGGGCGTGCTTTCACAGGCGGTCACACTAGGGCTTACTTTAACAGGCGACTTTGGCTCCATCGTGTACGAGTCGAAGGTGACTCGTCTGAGGGGGAGATCGGAGACGTGATAACTGTGGTGGTGTGTTGGTTCATAACGGATGGGTGGTCATCGGTTTTTGGAGCTCCAAGAAATCGGATCTCTCTTTATCGTATCGTCGGCAAAAGAAAAGCCAAACCCCACTGCCTTCTTCACTCGCCTGATTTTCCCATTACCAATGTTGCAACAGTTCACCATCATTTAATTTGCAAAACCCACTTGAAGAACGGGTTTGATTTTTTTGGTTTAAATTCTTTTCTGTGTTTAATTTTTTTTTCTGGGCTTTACGAAGTGTTCTTGAGAGAAGAACAAACGAAGAGTGAAGGAGAAATATTAGGGAAGAGAGAGAGAGAGAGAGGGAGAGAGAGAGAGAGTGTGTGTGTGTGTGTGTGTGTCACACCCCAAAACCTGAACGGCGGAATCGTTCGGGGGTGGAGGACATCATGTACAGTATCACAACAATACAAGTAGTAAACAAGCAACAACATCATCCATTGCATTAATAATATAATTTCAAACAAGTGTGTCATGTCAAGTTATATAGACACAAAAAAATATACATCAAAAATAAAAGAGGAGTCTTGAACGAGCTTCGTCTTCTCAGAAGTCGGGCTCCGGTACCTGTCTATTAGCGACCTGAGAATACAAGTTATTTTGAAAGAGTTTATCAGCTTTAGAGCTGATGAGTTCATAAGTATATTAGTGTCTGAGTTTGTATGAAAGCATTTGTAATATGTATTGTGTATGTTCGTAAAAGTTTTGTGTTTGTTTGATCTACTCTAGAAAACCCTATGTTTCCTACTAAAAGTAGCCTTCTACCAAGGCATCTAGTGTCTGTGTGTGTATCTCTTGTAAAAGTGTGTATTTTCCCAAATCCGACTATCACTAACCAAAAATACAGTTTCTACATTATCGTGCATCGTGTGAATATCAGAAAGTAAAATGTAAAGGGAAAATGTTTTAGTACTGTAACGTAGTATTAAGTAAACTACTTCTGTACTAACTACCTTAAGCCAATTGTATATTTTAAGGTAACATGTGATCGGCCTGTATCTTGCTACCGACTCAATAGTAAAGTGACAATGTAAGATACCACAAAAATGACGTTTGGCACCCGTAGACTTGCAAGTCCCACTGTAGCAAGCAGCAAGGTGTAAGATAGTCAATCTAGTATAGATCTATACACAAACTCATATGCTCCCCAATTAAGGAGATTCTGATACAAAAACAGTCATGGCAGGTAGTGCCATACCCTGCTTAATGGCTCACATAATTGTGTTTACGTATATGTAATGTATATGTAATGTATATGTGTGCTAGCTGTATTGTGTGTTCTTTCTCTGTCTAGCCTATATGGTTGTTTCTCGTCATAGTGTCTATTGTTTGTTTCTCCTCACTCTATTTCATGTTTGATTCGCATTATAGTATGTATTGACTCGTGTATAAACCGACTCATTGTATATTTCATTGTTCTAGTAATAATATCTTCCTAAACTACCCCTATTGTAGCTTACTAGTTAAGTATGAACATGTTTGTATACCCTTGCTACCCAAGGGCATGGAATTAAATGAAAGAAATAACCTTTTATATCTATATACATATACATAATATATAACTAGGATTCAAACGACGTTCGGACAACTAACCTTGATACCCTAAGACCACATCAAACAAGAACAGGAAGCAGGGTAGGCTAGCAGTCCTAAGTCCTTTCAATCCTACTTATATAACTATATTTATACAGATACGCAGAATATAAGTTTAAAAGAGTTTAAGTAAAAGTATTTGACAATTAAAGGAGTTTGTAAGACAATTTGAGGTAAAATAGTTTGATAAATAGTTTGGAAAGTAAGAAAACCATTTGCTTGGTAGTCATTAATCACATGTGATTGATATTATAACTGTAATTCTTCAACTTGTATTGCCCCCCCCCCCCCCCAACACCCATAAAAGCATTTTAAACATTTCAAAGGTTAATTTAAGGGTATGAACTCACCTGTAGTGAGAGGTTCCGAAGAAAATGTTGGATCAGTTGCTAAGTGCCAAGTGTCGACTTGAGTACACACGCGAATCCTATTTGACATATATTGATACATATATGAATGTAATTAGTGTTATGAACAACTAATTATTGAATTGGGACCACCTTAGGGACTAGTAAACACTTATATTGAAGTGTTACAACCATACATGATTGTACGAAGGGTTATAAAGCTATACAAGAGAGTGTATGGCCAAAATACACACTATACGTGTGTGTGCGGCCAGGTGTGCTGCCAGTACGTGTGTGCGGTCTTGTGTGCGGCCAGGTGTGCTGCCAGAAGGCGTATGCTGCCAGAAAACATGGTGTTCGTGGTGTTCTTGGTGAAAGATGTTACCTTTCCGGATGATACTTGAGAGGATTTTTGAGTCCTAACTTTGTAGAAGTGTAAGAAATGATCAAAATGACCAAGGATAGTATATATATAGGAGGGTGTATGCGGCTGGAGGTGTGTGTGGTTGGCCTGTGTGCGGCTGGCTGGCCGCACACACCGGTTTGGTGTGTTTGGCCCATTTTTTCAATGTTACACCCAAACTAACCCATCCTCCGACACCTATCTCAATTATACTAAGCTTTAAGCACTCTTTTAGACCCAAAACTTCATCATAAAATAGCAAAACGAAGCTAACTTTGATATAAATGAAGAATGTAAGCTAGAAATTTCAGGTTGTCACAGAGAGAAAGAGAGAGAGAGAGAGAGAGAGAGAGAGAGAGAGAGAGAGAGAGAAAGAAAGAAAGAAAGAAAAAGAGAGAGAGAGGGAGAGAGGGGGGAGGGAGAGAGAGATTTATTTTTATTTTCTTGTTTTTTAGAAAGAGATAGAGAGGTTTATGTTTATTTTTATTTTAATGTTTTTTTTTTAAATCTGAAAAACAAAAAAAATAAGAAAAAAGATAAAAATATATTAACATGGCCAAATTCATCATTTTGAAAAAAAAATCAGAACGGATTGGACTAAAGTCGCAACAAAATAAAAGTTTTAGACCACTAGTGCTAGTCTAAACCATTTTGGACCAAAGTGGCAATTTTCGACATACCACAAGGATCATTTGTGCAGTTTAGTCTAAACTAAATTAAAGAGATGACATCAGATCATGTTAAGCTCTTGAAATCCTAGTTGAGATCTTAAGATCTAACAATAGATCTTGTTTAAGATAGATCTTAACGAGATCTGAGTTGTTTTTGGCTTATAGGATCTTAAAATCTTAAAATTTTAAGATCAAGATTGTGATTTTAACAACCATGATTTATATATGTTTTTCTTTATTATATATGAGAAATTTAATATAATTCTATAATTTCTTCCTACCATCTTTTTACCCATATCAAATGATGATATATGTTATATTTAATATTTTTTTAATAATATTTTAATCTAATTGTTACCATTTAGTGAATACGAGGATAAATAAAAGAAAATATA